TAGTTTTTCTTTATGTACAACCGACCAGAATTATCTATGACTGTCTATCATGTTTGACTCTCCTTTTTCAATAATGAGAATTACTTTTTCCGACAAAACAGCATATGGTTTTGGCAACTAATTCTTTTTGTATTGATGTAACTTAACAGAAGTGCCACAAGAGTAGCAAGCTAATCATTAAGCGAACAAGACAAACAACAAGATTGTGTTCGGAGCGATAAAAGAATATGGCGCAGAGAAAAGGATCAAACATTTGAAAAGATGTTGAGCGTGGGTGTGAGTGTGAACGAGGTCCAGGAGAAGACCAGCACCTACATTGTATAGCCACACCTACCTCACACTCACAATTTCTTGAAAGATTGTTTATCTGATTGACGAATAAAATATTCTCTGAGAGAAATTCAGTTGCATTGTTCAATAGTAATTGGAGTCATTGTTAGGCGTTGAATAGAAAGTGCTCGATTGGAAATAACGCCATTGATAGCAGGCTTATCCTCGAAAATTAATTTTTCTTCTTCCAAATTGTCTCCACGCATTCGAATAAGATTAACAGCAATAAAATCGTCATATGTGAATGGATGTACTAATATGTTATCAATCAATTGAGCGACAATTGTCATGTCATTACTCTCATCAATATATAGCATGTCTGAACCTTGTCCTCGACAAAAGCGATATTCTTTCTTCATTTGAAGGGTTCCATTTGCTGAGTAAGTATTTCACCACGTTGTACAACTATTGCTAGCCATTGGATAGGATCCGATTTCCCATATGACGAATAATTCAGGCTCGTCTGAAGATTTCGAAAAAGTCTTGAGTAAACCGCTCCAATTACCACTCCAATTAGATTGAGTTGGCCCCAATGGGCTGGCAAGCCAATCTATGTAATAAACCAAATTTTTCATGCCTATGATCACGAATCAATAACAAAGATACGACCAATTAAAGACATGTTTCAATAAAGTTCATAGTTAATCTAAGAATAACTGGAAAGATTACATGAAATTGTGAATGAACATTCTGCAATAGACTCTTTTAAAGTTTGAAAGTATGTCAAAATTATTATGAAACTTACACTATTCAACAGTTCACCAAAGAGCGCAATTTATGCATCTTCGAATATACAGTGGCATCCTTAAATGATTACAAAATCTCAATGAATTAGACTTATTCATCCAAAGTTCATGTGATTACGATCATTTATATTTTCTTGCAGTTAGTCGGATCGAACTCATTAGTGATATGTTTAACCAAAATGGAACAGGTTGATTGAAGAATTCGTGAGAATGCTATTTACATAAATATTGAAGACGAATATGAATTATGAATGTTCCTTCATACCAATCTAGTGGTCATCTACTAATTACATGATAGTATTCTTTTCTTTCTTGCTATTCTTTAGTCTACAGTTCTCGTTATTTCCTTTTCTGTGTATTCCGTGTAGATGCAAATATGCAGAACTGACTAGTAAAAATTCTGTCTAGTGTTCATCATTTGAATCTCGTATCAGATGTATGAAGATCTACGTGATCCATAGTACAAGTGAAATCATTCATAAGAGAACAGTCATGATATTTTATTAATCACACAATTCCTTTTTTTTTCTTTTTTATGATGAAAGCTTCGTTCTTAAATTCTATTGATATTAATATTCCAGTACACTTCAAATATTCATAACAGAACTTCTCAAAATCTCAAACTTCTTTATTATTCAGTATATTTGTCAGTTGAAACGAATTATTCAGTTATCAGTGAAAAGTTTTAGCATGAACTAGTCTTCCAGCCAATATCACTTTCAAATAATCGAACTTTGAGAATAAGTCAGCATCATTTACTTGAGAATATGTTGAGAATTGATTTCCAAATAGCAATATTGAAAACTTCGTCTAAAGAGATTTTTTAGAATACTCTGTTTATTGCAGATGTGTCATTTGTTTCTGATCTTCCTCTACCTCAGTATGAATACTGAAAACTGAGACATGTGTTCAGATGTAAACTTCCTTGTTTTATTCACAGAGTTATGAATCGTAATATTGAAAAAAATCTCAAAACAGCGCAACAAAAGATATGTTCTAACAAACATCTTGTTGTAGAATTACAATTACAAAATAAACTTCAATTACTGACAGGATCTTAGGGAGATCGGAGTGTTTCATTCTGAAAATTTGATAATTTGCAAGTAAAGATATAAAAAATGAAAATATTCAGCTGAATTTCATTACTAGTGAGTAGACACCTGAAAAATTAATACTTCTCGATTTCACAATTAATCCTTCATGATGAGAATTTTAAAGTAAATATTTATATGATTTTTCGTCGCTTTTTTTTCAATAATCAAAATTTAAGGCAAGAATATTGTTGCACATTCATAGTGAAAACACGGTTCAACAAGAAGCCGAATCGAAGTTTGGGTTCAATATATATGCCTATTATTTATTTCAAAGTTTTGAAGCTATCTACGATGCATCAGTTGCATTATCAGGAAGGTGAAGTAAGTGATACAAAACGTTCTATGATCAGTACCTATTTTTTTATTCAAATTTGCACTGTCTACGTACCAATTATAAATTTTAGTTCATTAGCACTAACATCGACCACAGCAATGCTCAAGAGACACAGAAGAATGCGTTGCATATATTTCGTGGATCAAAACAAAAAACATAGAATAATAAGCGACCTTGTTGTAGTAACAAATGTGTTTAAAGAGTATATATTATACAACTTTTATCAAAGAAATCGCTTAATCCGAAAAACGTTTATTTAGGATTCATATGTTGAGACATTACTTTTTTTTTGTTTCTCTGTTAAACGACAAATATAACTTTGATTGGAAAATACATATTTACCAAACAATATTGATAAATAGATTACAACTGCCAAACATCATGACTCTTTAGTTTCGCAATAGTTTATTGTTTCAATGAATCATTGATCTTTTCATTAGAACGCATGTACTATGTAAATTTTTTTTCATTTTTATAAATTCAACATATCATCGAATATACAGTTTGAACTTATGAAAAACTTTAGTCATTGAATATAAAAATCATGAATCATTTTTGTATAAACGTCTCAAACACATGAGAACTTCTTTTAAAATAAAATTGTTTGTTTTTCTCGTTTAAAATACATCTCAAAGTCTAAAAAATGACAATATTGGAAAATGAAATATTGAATATTTCTATCATTAATGAGAAAGCTATAGACTTCCCACTCATGCACTCATGATGTCACTACATCAATGAAGTACACAATTGAGTTTTGTCGTTTAAAGACCCATTTTGAATCTTTAAAATGAAAATATTCAACATAAATCTCCAATGATTGTGAGACAAAAGAGACAATAGGGTGCACGTGTGGGGTTCTTCTTCTTTCACATCAACCTACACCTATACCGACCGTACTTAACCTTCATCTTATAATCATTAACTTTAACATCATCACTTGATAATTCTGCATAGAGCCATTTTTCGTAAAACTAAACATTATGTAATATGATTTATCTTCATGCCATTAAGCGAAATGCAAGTAATCTCTCGCAACTGATAAACCAACGACACTTATTGTCAACGTAATTGAATACTAATGAATAAAATCGTTCATTTAATACTCGGATATAGATAGCACGTGTGGCTTCCATTGATGACCATCGTCAAATATTTAAACCATTGATCGATGCACGAAGTCGTTTTGTCATGCTAATTATATATTTACTTCTCTGGGTCGAAATGTCTATTAGTTACACGAGAGAGAACGTCCTCAGATTCTTGCTTCCTCATATAGATATTTTTGCTGTTATCGCTACATATACATTTGTTATTCATATATTTTACTGTTTGTTTCAAAAGGACAACAACAATATTAAATCGTTGTCTGAATGAATTACAACTCTTTGATTCAAATTTCGCTTTCATCTATGTATTTGCTAAGAGATAATATTTCATATGAGTTGATCGTGTCAATAATATGAATGGACTCGGTCCGATTTCACAAAAAAAAAAGAAAGAAACGAAGCAGTATTTTGCGCAAAAAATAAGGTGTGTTTTGTATTCTCTTATGCTGATAATTTGAAAAAATGAGAACAAATAGCACTATTACTATCCAAGGTAAGTTGCTTCAGTAATCTGCGAAGCGAATATTTATTTGTTACTATTTTCTCTATCACATTGACAAGATGAATCCAGAACGAAAAAGTACTTTATTCACAGTCTTGAAAGCTTTTTCGCATTGTCATCATACAGCTTTCATCACTTTGAAAAGTATATAGAATGATACAGAAGAACAACAATCACGATGAAAATGAGTTTTATATTGTTCGAACTGTTATCAGTTTGTCGAATCAATTGGTTTTCTAGCGATCCTCGTTCGAATTTATGTTATCCGATCCAATGTATAATTCAATAGATTGATTTGTGCCATTTTGCAAACAGTCTATTGTACAAACACTGGTGACATTACAATTGAGAATTCATATTAAGACAAACCATGACTCTTTTTAGTCAAAATACAGTCAATCATTGCGATATATTTCGTTTGGAAAATCATCTTGAGTTCAGCTCTTCATTCAGTCGCTGATGAAGACATAGTAGCGGAGAAAAGTATATATATACAACAACATGAGAAAAAGTTTTGCCTAGGGTGGATGTACGTGTGAGTATTCTCTTGACACATTTAAAGCGATCTACATGCTATCGGCGTTTTAGAACTCTATTCTGAATAATTATCTTTTTAATGACATCAATCGTAGAGAATGTGCATGATAAAATTCACTTTTTCTCTGCTTTAGTACTATATATCAAAAGTGGATGTCTGTTTCTCAATATTCTCTTACATTGCGTCTCCATTTCATTCATTCGATAGCAATATATACATGTTTTTGCATGTCGTTCTCTTTCATCTTTTTTTCCTAATGTAAAAGAATGTAACATGTTTATTTGCATTTCAGATCATTAAGCTTTTTAAAAATTTTGTGAATTTTTTTGTATTAAAAAAGGAACATTATGGGCTTTGATAAAAGATTTCCAAGATGGGTCACAGCAATCTTAGCTATAGCTCAAGTTGTTCTAACTGCAGCTATAATTGGTCTAGAATTTGGTTCTATTTATTATGATGTCGCACATGGTACCATTTGGGCTGGCTTTTGGGCTAGTCTTGTCTTTATTAAAACATTTTTGATGATGTTCTGTATTAGTATGTATTTTGAAAATTTTTATTTCCATTATATTACTTTTCTCTTCTATTCATTAAGCTTGCTGTTGTCGAGGTCGATGTTGTGCTACTTATATTGTAATACTCAATAGTACGCAAATATTATTTTGTATGCATATATACATTATGATTTAGTCTGATTTCATTTTAGTATTCAGCGGAGCATTGGCTTGTGTAATCATTTACTTTGATGCATACTTTGTAGATAATCTTTGCAAATGCTATTTAGGTGATAATTTATGTTGCAGTCTACATGGTATGAGTAGTTTCAATTCAAATTATGGTAACATTGTGAAAGATTGCATACCGGTTTCTGTAAATGGAGTGCAAACTGTAGTTGATTCGTGTTATCGTTTTCCTCCAACGAACAAATTGGTTTTTCTAAAAGCACAACTAGGTTGTGCCATTGGCATGCTAGCTGTCTGTGGCCTATATGTTGTTCTCTATTTATTTGCCTGTTTTGGTATTTGTTTTGGTCATGATTAAACAAACTTCGAAAAACAAACGAAACGAAATTTTAACTATATATTCAATTCTTCTTCTCTAAAAAGTTCTTCCTAAAATATTTTTAAAACAAAACTAAGTAAAAGCCGTAACTTGTATCGTCGTATTTTTTTGTGAAACAATTTATCTCTACTGTTAGCGGCTTGTATTACATCAACATGTTAACAATCATTTAATGCTTGTTTTACACAGAATAAACAGTTAATCATGACTATTTTCTGTGAGGATGAGAGTATCAATATGGTTCTTTCTTTCGCCTCTTCTTACACGTCCATATCTATGCTAAAATCTTGATATATATCAAAATGAATGTTTATCATTTGCCACAAATTGCAGTTCCCTAAATTGATCCCTAAAAAAGATCCCTAAATTCATCCCTACTTGGTCACCAGAATATACGATAGCGTTTCACGTATCCATAATTAGGAATTCGATTCAGGGACTGATTCAGGGAACCACAATTTGTGGCAAATGATAACCTACCATCAAAATGACCAAGTCAATGTCATGCTTGATTACGAGCTCTCCGGTGGGACATGCTTGTTAACTTATATCGAAAACTAGACTGGCTCTGCTGAAAATTGTTGTCAAACCTTAAATGAAATGATGCTCTCATTCTCAAAAGTTCCTAAAGTCGAAATTTGTTGACTTTCTTTCACAAGCAATAATAGTTGAATGCTTCAAACTTGTACATCCTACAAACTACGTAGCAAATGTGAAAAGAATCAGGAGACATATTGTATTTTTTCCTATCGAAGTTGCTACTTTTGACATCATGAATACGATTTTATATGAACAAGATATATATTCGATCTCTTTAATTTAATGATACACTCCAAATATCTTGAATGCTTTATGATAATTTTCGAATATAGAATCAGTTCGTCTTTGTTTTGAGCTGGACGAATCTCATCCCTGGTAATTGTCAACATACATAAGAAGGGCCTACAAAAAAAAAAGAGGAAAACATAGAAGTTCATCTTTTTATTTAGTTGAAATCAGTAAAAAGCTGCTGAAAAATTATTTGTAATTGTTTTTGGTAATGCAAATTGATGGTCGAAAGAACTCTTCTAAGTGTCCTTCTCTTGATCACCAAAAACAAAAACTTCAAAAAAACGAGTTACAAAAAATTGGAAATGTAGCTGAACTGAAGGCTCACTCTCACACATAAGGGCACACTCTGATTACGAGTTATTAGTGAGAAAAAATAACATATTGCCAACCTATCTATCTGCAAAAGCCATTGTTGTTATCTATTGTCAAAGGGACAAAATAAATGAAGTCATGTATCTTTTTCTCATGCAGTAGATTTGGAATGGAGAAAAGTTGTTCTCTTATTTTTCTTTTTTTATTATGTTTGAGGGCGAAGAGTTTTTGGCTTTGTTATTGTTTAACATTTGCATTTCCAGTTTTTGAAGACGAGTTTGCCAATATTTTAAATATGACGATTCCAATGAAAAAGGAAATAAAAAAAACAAAGAAACTGAGTGGATGATTCGACAGAGGTTTCATCGTCGACATTTGTTCTTCACAGTTAACTAACAGATGACAAGAGAAAATCTCTAGTATTAGATATATGCTGCTCTTGTTTATAATGATCTAAACATAATAGTCCATCGTTACACTATATATTTTGGAATTGAAACCGACTAGGTCATTGATCTAAGAATTAGACGTAGGGTACAAATGAATAAAGAGTTTATTTCTAAAACATATGTTTCTTTTTTTTTAGATGAATTACTTTTATTAATCTGTTTATGAGTCTTGTTGGCATTCAATACGTATTTTAAGTCTTTGGCTCATACGAATAACTGATTCATTCTGTAACTATTGGATTGTGATGATGGACAGTGTTTATTCACTTATTCTGTCTAACTTATAGTAAGGTTTTGAAGAAAGTGATTTCTTCGTATCTTAGGTATCGCGCACTGTAATTGAGAGATATTCTTAGGAAAACTGTTTCCAAAATATCCTTGACTTTCGAAAGGTCTAACCATTTATGATAGATTTCTTCTAGAGATCTTCACAATATCTATGTAGCATAACTGAAATTCAATAGAAGGAACGTTCTTCAACTCGTTCTTACACCTGAAGTTATGACAGTTGAGTTTTTCGTATGCTGCTCAAAATATGTTTTACAATTCGGCAACAATCTGAAGAATATTATAGTTTATCTTATTTCTTTTGATGAAAAAAGGGCACATGCTATTCTGCTGTGACTTTAATATGATAGCATATGAAATATTATTCAAACTTTGTACATCCCATATCAACAATAAAATCTAAATACAAGGTACAAAAATGTTTATCTCTGATTGTCCACTATGTCATTTCTCACCAAATTTCTCATTATGTCACTATGATCGGTCAAAAATGCAACCACACTTAGCATGTATAACTTCGTTGAATCTCTATATTTTTTATTGTAAACCATCTTAACGAATTTTCTTCAAGAATTTTTAAAAGAAATCGACTTGTCTCGATGCTTATTTTTTTTTTCATTCACTGTAGTCGAAAAAAAAAGAAATTATAAAGGATTATATAGATTAGCGAGTCAATGAAGAAATCATTCCTGCATCACTTTAGCTTAGAAGCACGCTACTTTCTTCACCTTCGTCAAAAATTTAATGTGAAAGTGAATCTTTCTTCACAGTTACAGAATCAACCATCAGAATCACTGTTTTATTTTATATCATAAGAGTAAATAATGTAAGACTAGTACATATAAATGAGTTGAAATCAATCATTCACTGCTAAAGATGATGTGAGTATGATGTTTAAGGGTGACAAGAGCGAGTATGAAGTGCGGAGAATTGATGACAGAATTCAAATAAGGCTAGATGAGGATGCAAGTAAGCATAATAGATATATAAAAACTTCCTATATTTACCTTCTAGACTTTCAGTTTCGTATTTACCCTTCAGAAGACATTTGATGCAATCTTGAGAAAATTCTATCTTAAAGAGACAGACTGAATCATCAACCACATACTGACTCGTCACCGCTTTACTGATGACTATGTCGCACTGCTTTGTTCTACAGTTGTCAGAAGAAATATCACTCGTCGATTTGTGCATCTCTGATTCTCAATAATCTACAAAACTTATAAAATCGAAAGATTCTGGGGAACTTTCTAAAAGCATCGGTAAAATAAACTCTATGCTTCTATCTTTTTCTTTTCGACTTTTGATTATACATGATGAAAGCATAATCACTCCAAAAAGTATCAGAATGACTTTTTATAAAAAATAAATACAAAAATTTTTACAACTAGTTTGATGACTTACATGTTTTCACCTGTGAATGAATTTTGAAAATACAAAGGACTCTAACTTTAAATAGTGAAGGAAATATTTTGTTTTAGAAAATCTTCTGAACAGCTTCGTGTTCTTAATGATTAATTATATCTAAATATCCACAAAGAAACGAACAGCATTTCGAAAATAGAAATGTTGAGGCAGAACTTGAAGAGCCAGTTCGTGAACATGTAAAAATCCAGACTAGTATCATAGAAGAAATAGAAAAATTATGTCAGAGATTTCTTGAAGGGTTTACCAAAACAATTAATGCATTAGAAACTGCTGACAATAAGGTAGTAGGTCAATAGAAGCAACGATTGTAGCAGGTAGGCTAAGATCATGTCGAAAAATACAGTGTACTTAGTTCTTAATATTTAGGAAATTTTCATTAGATTGGACTATTTATAGAATTTAATTAAAGTTGACAGATTGAATGAACTGTATTTGTTGATCCAGTAGGCGATACTACATGATTTCCTGGCAAGTTAAAAAAAACAACTTCATAAAAGAGATCGAAGTGCAATTACCATCAAAATTAGTTAGCAAACAACTATGAAATTACAGGCAAATTAGTTACATAGTTTACCATTGGAATCCAATAAATTTGCGAGTCATAAAAAACACTCCAACGATCAAACCAGAAACCGTTTGAAGAAAAAAATTCATTCTAAGCCAAAAAAATCATCCGAAATGTGGAAAAGTCATAACACTTATTGGTGAAGTCTATACCATACTGACAATTTCATGGATATCTCTACCATCACAAACAGATTTAAACGCTTCTTAACGTTTTTATCAACGGAATTTCTACAATAAATATCTTTCAACAGTTTATCTTCCGAAACTCTGACCGAAATCTTTTAAAATACCTTCATAACATGGTTTTTATCGGAAAAAGAACACGTTAAAACAATATCCTGGTTTCGCTGCTATTACACAAAATAAGTTGCAATGTGAAAAATGATGTTATCGTTATTTTCTCAGGAAATACTATCATTATCGCATACTAGCTGCTAATCGTCAATAGTTATTGATACGCATCTGTTACTAACCAAAGGTAAGTAGTTATTTTAACTATATTGCAATACGTATAAATGATCAAATGTATGTAAATAATGTAACAATCATTGGTAAATAATTGATTTGTCCATTTTTTAGGAAGTAATAAGTGTTGTTATTTACGGCTTATTGGTTATGGTTAACTAATACTTACGATTCGTATGTATTACTAATAAAAAGTAAAATATTAGATACACTACTCAATATTACTTTGTAGGAATTTCAAACAAAGAAAGCACCTTTTCTTACTAGTAATCAAAGTTCAAATAACGAGAAGCGAAAAAATCTAATTGAAAACACTCCTCTTAGAGAGCTTCCATCGTGGTTTTACACGTATTTTCACTGTATCTTCTCATCAATATCTTAATCGTACGGTTGATCGTTAAAACAAATATCATTCTTTGCTAATATTTGATGAAGGGGGAAAGCAAACGTTTCTTTTATTGACTTCGCTGATGCTAACACAAACTGATATGCTGAACAAAGATAGAATAGCAATGCATCTCATATCGAACATCTTTTCATAATCAGAATATCGACAACAGAAATTATATTGACTTGGTCAAAGAACTTTATAATATCATATCGTTCAACATCAATTTATTTTATCGCACGTTTCTATAT